GGGGCTTCTTCAAGGGTTTGATTTGCCGTAATGTTAATGATATCATGCATGTGCGGCTTTTCTAAGAAGAAAATGCGTTTAAACACTTTTTAGTTATGCTTTTTTAAAATAGGCCTATATTTTACGACATCATAATCGTAATGAACAATAAAATGAATTTAAACAACTTTAGTATACACCTGTTTCGGCTAACAAGAATGTTATTCTTCAAACTAGTAATGTTAAACGTGTCTTTTTCGCATTTTCGACTTATAAGCAATACAGTAAATTCCGATAACGTCCATATGCATACAAGCAACGGCGTAGGCGAGGAGGGGTTTAATAGTGATTTAATAATGATACTTTCTTAACCCTCTACTGGACATCATGTTTGGTACCTTGCCCCCGGCAACTGGGTGGATTTGGATTACACCCAAGTTTTACTTCATAGTAAATGGCTTCAGTTTTAATTATTGGAGTTTTTAGCAACATTGACACAGTTGAAATCACATTAATTAGTATATAATTTACCATTACTAACAATAGGCCCTACTTAATTGTTTAATGTTGCTGGATATTAAGCCTGGTAGGTATTTATATTTATTAATTTGCACAGAAACAAAAAAAGGATTCCCAAACAAAGTTTTATTTTTCAGAAATAAAGAAAATGATACAAATCAATAAAGAACAGTTTGCAAAAGAATTTGTATAAAAGTAATTATTATAAGAATATAGCATTGCATAGATAAAAATAAAATACTTGACACAAACAATATGAGGAATATTTCTTATCAGAGAAGAGAAAAATATATGATGTAGTTTGAAAATAATAATCTACAGAATGTAGCTTTTGTAGATTAAAATGAAAATTCTCATGCCTATATAATTTATTGAGTAAATGAAGCAAGACCCAAAACAATAGGCTAAATAATATGCATGGGACAGGCATTGAAAACTACAAATTGCATATAGTGAAGGTTATCCTATTTATTGGCTATATCCACAGTAAAGATGTCTGGCTTTATTACCTGCTTGTAAAATTTTTAAGGAAAAAGTAAAGTACTGTTAACTTTTTATGGCAGACCAACTACGGGCTGTGTTCTGGGAACATGTCATCTGTAAGGGGCATTGTTCTCGGCACATGTTGTCATTTTTTGTGTTCTCGGCACATGTTGCCATTTTGTGTGTTCTGGGAACATGTTGCCATTTTGTGTGTTCTGGGCACATAATGACATTTTGTGTGTTCTGGGAAAATGTTGCCATTTTGTGAGTTCATGGAACATGTTGACATTATTTGGCTGTGTTCTGGGAACATGTTGCCATTTTGTGTGTTCTGGGAACATGTTGCCATTTTGTGTGTTCTGGGAACATGTTGCCATTTTGTGTGTTCTGGGAACATGTTGCCATTTTGTGTGTTCTGGGAACATGTTGACATTATGTGGCTGTGTTCTGGGAACATGTTGACATTATGTGGCTGTGTTCTGGGAACATGTTTGTTTCATTTTTAAATATTATAATAAAACATTTTTAGAAATTCTATATTAGGAATTGTGTATATATATAAATTTATATATTTAATAAGACAATTGGATGAATTATAATAAACAGCAAAAATGATTCAAATAAGTTTAGAAGTATTTGGCTTGATGTCCCAACAGTGAACTGTATTCCGAGCTTGTTTCCCTAGTGATAACCCATTTTTTTGTGCCACTCTTCCAATCAAATATCCAGCTTTTTCTTGGCCTGTATCATAATGCTGGTCATAGACTTGCTTGATTTGTGTATCACAATATGATTTCGAATGTTCTTCTGTAAATGAAATAAAGACAAAATATTTTGATATATTATTTTGTGGAACTAGCAAGAGAAATACATTACAAATTGATATTACTATCTCTACTATTTCTTTACTATAACTAATTACTTTGAAAAGATAAAGCACTGAACATGATGAATAACAAGAAACAAACATTATCAGCAAAGATTATAGATTTAAAATTGTGTTCATTCATATTGAAGATTAATGAAGTAGACTATCAATATTTACCTTCTTGATAGCTGATACTTTGATTTGATGTCTTTACTTTAAGCTTACACATCAGTCTCTGTGTGGTAAAATATGAAATAATATGCTTCAATAAAACTGTTTCACTATATTAATTATATTAGATAAGTACATAGTTTTGAGCTCTATAACAATATGTGTTTCAATTATCATTCAAATATAATACCCTCTATGTTGTACAACTGACTGATTTATTAGAATTTAAGAAAAGATAATAATTAATAAAATATTTTGGATTAAAATCCATTATATTTATTATAACATATAATGCTATCTCTTGCTATAATAATTACTTTAAAAAATGGGTTATGCCTATAGTACAGTTACCCGAGAATGAAACTAGGCACAGTGTATAGTCCACGGAGAATGATTAATATCCCTTGTAATTGAACATCAGTTGTAGTTATGAAATCTGGATGGCCAAACACACACTCATAGTCCTGAAAAGCAATTTACACATAGATTAGCAAGAATATCTCACAAATTATTAAATTAAAGCTAACCCCTATTTAGTGCAATCCATCAAAGTAGTAGCATTTTTCATTAAGTTGTAGACACAATACAAAGTAATGTTTGGTCTGTGATTTACATACTTTTATAAAATAGCAATCAAATTATATATATATATATATATATATATATATATATATATATATATATATATATATATATATATATATATATATATATAAACTCACTTTATTTAAACATAATATAGTGGATAAGTATAGTGATTTTATTATTCAGCAATAAATAGCAGCCCTACAAAAATTTAAATAGTAGCGTTTGCGAATGAACACATTAAATTCTATGTATTTCCATTTCTATGTCTTTCCCAACTTGATGCATATTACTAACCAAGCATTAAACTATAGTCCTAAACCTGACTCTAATTACCATTTATTGGACAACCTGAACCTTTGCGATACCATGTTATAATATATTATTTTAAAAAAAGAGCTTACCACTAATTAGTAAAATCAATTGTTTTTAGTATTAACTGAGCCGCATACTATCTGCTGCTATTGTCATCACCAGAAATCCAGTATGACGGCAAAGATTAGTCTCTAAGTTCCCTGGACAATATTGGTATATAATATATAGTCTATAGTATATAGCTTAGGCTATAGAGTAAATAGGCCTATGAGCCTAAATATAACAGCAGCTTGAATAATGCTCATTAGCATGCATTCACTATAAACTATAAAGATAATCAAATATTTCAATTTAATTAAATTATAACTAATAGGCCTAATAGTAAATAGGCTTTTTTCTTGTGGCAACAAATTTAAAGTATAGGACAGTACAGTTATAGTATAGGCCTACTAGATTCTATATTTAAGTATGTGGGCTTTTCATTCCAATGCACCACAATAGATACCACACATGATCAAGCTGGACCTCTGATCTAAAGATTTAATAATTGGGCCTAACAAACAGTGAAACTACAATAAAAATCATGTAAATTACTAATTTAACCTTCTTACCTCCGCTTCTCTAGATTCCTATTCTATTTCCTTCAAACTTTCTTTTTATACAGCCGTATGATTAGATTCTAGACTATATTCTAATAAACATGAAATAACTACTAACCAGAACACTAGATCTAAATTTCTATATTCTATGCAATATGTATTAAACCTATAGGCCTAATATTTATTTTAAATTCCTATGCGATGTGTCGTGAACTGTAGGTTTCATGTTATTTTTTTAATGGCGGAAATCAGTTTAAAATTTCGTTTCCTTCCTTTTGTATTCTATTTATAGATTCAAACTGCTTAGAGACGGAGCAATTATCATTGAGTTAGTCGGCTGATCCACACAGGAAGTGCGGGTATATCTATTAGTTACTCAGTGATCTGATCATTGACAAAAACAGAGATAGCCATTCGCATGTGGTGAAAAGAGATAGAGAAAGAGAGAGAGAGAGAGAGAGAGAAAAGAGATAGAAATAGAGAGAGAAAGAGGGAAAGAGAGAGATTAATAACACTGTGCTAAGCCTAACTTTATCTTTTTAAAGTCACTGCAACAATCTATCTCTAGTTTATTACTAAATTTATTTTAACTTTTTGTTTTAATGTCTTTTGGTCTGTAGACCAGAAATAGCCTATCCCTTACCTATTTCTAAATATTTTTTTTTAAAAGCTCGGTAAAGCTCATGGTTGCTAAACCGAAATGTCTCGAGTTCGAACCCTCGGGCAGATGAGGCTCATTAGCTGGAGACAGCCATTCTTCTAAGAGAGACAACTCCAAAACCAAACAACTGCTGCCTTGTAGTTTGTTCTTGGTTGGACAAAGGCTATAAAAGCAAATCCAAAAAGAAAAGTAGAATCGGAGCCAATGGCCTCAATGGCGCATAAACAGTTTACACGTATCCTTAATTGTGATGTAGGCGCGGTCGAGTCGGCAAAAGCTTATGGTTGTTAAAATTCGAAAAAGTCTCGAGTTCAAACCCTCTGGCAGATAAGGCTAGATCCCTTTCAACACAAAAAATTAAGAACGAAGAAGAAGAAGAAACAATATTTTAGTTTTTAGTGTTTTCCTAAAAACAATATGTCACATTTTAATTATAGTCCCGGACAATACATTTTGACCCTTCAAATATTTGTTAAATAAAATATAAATGATTGGCTTTTTGCTAAAACAAACTGTTATTAACATCTTAAGAGAAAGACAGAGATAGAAAAATATAAAATAATTTGTTTTTCCAAAATGTATTGAAGTATTTCAGATAGAAGGTTGATGAATATCAGATATAAACATAAAAGGTATTTTTAAAAAAAAACTGGGACAGAAGACTCAAAGACTAAACTTATGGCCAGTAAAGATATATCATATCACTTGCAGTTAAATTTATTAATTATTATCCTATTCTAAGAAATCTAAAGTCATGTTTGGTGGTTCAAATGTAAATCATATAGGTAACAGATCATTATTTTGTATTTTATTATTATAGAACAGCCCGGGTAATATAGATGATCAAGACAATATGGCTTGTGATAAATACCTATCAAAACATTTCACAGGTAATGTCCATTTCTTTTATTTTAGGTAGAATTTATATTGAAAACAAAATTAATGAGTGTATTTAATGGTTTTGTTCTGAAATAACCTTTGTGTTAAAACATGATGTAGATTTCTATTTATTTTTGTGTTGCATATTGATTATGTTTAAGATAGTTGTGACAGTTGAAGTTAGTAAATAACTACCACGTATATTTTTTTTATGAATTTTCGACCGCTAATAAAATAGTTACAGTAATAACGTGTTTCGATTACCTGTACAGGTACACATGAAGTACAAGAATGTCTTGAAGGTCAAGCTGAGATGGATCTACACACACACCTGGCAAACTGCAAGAAAAATCCTGGCCACAAAAAGTTTGTACCTAAGAATCAGTTACATGTTGAACATTTTCCTTCCGGTTACCGTGAGAGGCAAATATCTAACCTCACAAAAGCCCTGGCTGACCTAACTGTCAGGATAGCCGTTAAGTTCACCAGTCCAGACAGACCAGAGTTTGTTCCAGGCACTAAAGATACGTATCCTAGCTACAACATCAGGGGACAGAACTTACTGAGGACAGGGACTGGAATAGTATGGGATGTGAGAAAGTACACAGAAGGAGAAGATGGGAGAACTTGTCAATGTCCCGAATGTTTCAAGTCTGCCACACCCAGAAAAGTGTTGTGGGAAGTTGGTGTACAGACAGCCACACATGTGGTTTTTGATGAGAGTGAGGCGAGACAGTCCAGCTGTAGGTTGTGGTTTGATGAGGAAAACTGTCCTAAGGTCAACACTTATGGGTGGAAGGTGGTTATGAAAGACACTGAGAGAGACGTATGTGAGCTGTGGTGTGTCACGCACGACGAAGCTGTAGCTACTAAACTGAAGAAGATGGTGAGGCGGTTTAATGAGTTGCATGATCAAGTTTGTGAAAAATACAAGAGCCGTAGAGATGTGGACAAGCTGACCATTATAGTGTCACATCCTCATGGCTGTTCTAAGCAGATCTCTGTAGGTCACTGGCTAAGAGGGCAGGTGATGTCGGGTTATCAGACAAGTTACACGTACACAACGTGTACCTGCCCTGGTAGCAGTGGGGCTCTGGTGTATAGACTGGGGTGTGGCAGGTCTAAACATCCCCACAGAGGTGTTAACAATGATGGAGATAATTATAGTGGGGTCATGTTGGACTAAGCTTTGTAGTTGTATGCACTGCTAGAGAATTTGAACAAACGTCGTTTCCTGTCTTTTTAAAAAATGTAAACCTTTGCTTTTAAAATAAGCCTTTGCTTTTAAAATATTTTTCAACATATAATTGTAGAGATTAATTAAGTTTATATTTATTGTATTTTAATTAATTTTGGTTTAAACTAGAACTAGATCAAGATTTACGTTCTCTTCCTCCGAATCTAATCGGTATATCTAGATCAATTTAAACTGTTAAACGTATTCTATTGAATATTGATAATAGTGTTGGAACATAACGAAAATAGAAAAAGACGTATAATTAAAGCAATAGAAGACAGACAGAAAATGTAGCTTTTTAATGTGTTAAACTTTTGAATGGACAACATGGTCTTCCATGGAAACCGCCATATTTATTTGAAAATAAGTAAATAAAGTATGTGTTTAGAACTTGTATAATTAAAGTGGTGTTTTTACCATTACATTTAGAAAGATATTCATTAACGTCTTTAAATAATATTATGTTTAATGGTTTGATAAAAAAGAACATTATTCTCTTCATGAATTCGTATTTTAAAAGTGTACACATAGTGCAGATACTCTCATATAACATACAAGTAAAAAAACATATACACAATTTTTCGTTTTTAGTAGTAAACTAGCCGTCACGGAGAAGCCCTGCACTACCCTCTGTGAAAAAAATATCTGTAAATCATCATGACTTGTGTGTTTATAAAGCAGCATATAGCAACATAGACGTTTGATAAAAGAACACATATCACTTAACTCAATCCTAACTCTTACTATAAACTTAACACTAATACAAACAACCTACCCAAACCAAAATACAAACCCAAAAACAAAGCAAACATAACATAAACACAAACGCAACCTAAAACACAAACGCAAATAGGGGCCTACAATCCCACACACAAAAAAAATACAAAAGCAAATGCAAACACAACAAGCACTCAAATATAACCATTAACTCAAACACAAACACCAAACCTAAACACAAATTAAAACATAAACAAAAAAGCAAACACTGATGCAATTAAAAAAGTAAACACACACTTAAAAAAGAAACACAAACGCAAACATAAACAATAACACGACATAAATACAAATAGAAATGCAAAAATAAACTGAAACAATCATTCACACAAATACAAACGCAAATACAAACACAAACCTAAACGAAAACAATAACGCAGAACATAAACACAAATTTAAATGCAAACATAAACACATAGTTCTCTAGTACAGCCCGTGGCGCCAAATCTCACCCTGCCGGGCGCTGGCGGAAACTCCTGGTACAACTTAAGAATCGACTATATTACTCCATGTTATCCATAGTCTACTAACTCACTAAACCGAACGAAGACGCCGCAACGTTCACGGGAAAGCCCGGGGCTCCAAATAGCAATCTTTTGGGGCTCCAGAAGACTCCTGGATTCGATTTAGATAAGGACAATAGTAACATTTTTATCCATAGCCTATTGCAATGTTTAAAACGAACGTGTGCACTATATCCCTCACAAGACAGCCCAGGGTTCCAAATAGAACCATGCCGGGGCGCAGACGGACGTGCATATTTCAATTTAGTGAACAACTCTAAATCCCCAGTTTGTCCTCAAACTAAAAGATAGAAGTAAGCATAGAGGCAAGTTGTTGATTTAAAATATTAAATGGTAAACAGTACGATTAGTGTATAGTATAAATAAAATGCAGTATTTAAAATATCCGTATTTTACTTACCATATTGCACTTTATCAATCCTTGCTAATTATATAATTATATTTTTCCAACACAAAAACAAACAATTAAAAAGCATTTTTCCCACCGATGTTATGTTTCTTTTTAAAAGGGAAGTAATATATTTTTTTGTGATCTATCAAGGAAAGCAATTGGCAATAAAGGAGCAAAAGGAAGTATTTTGTAATTTTTTTTTATGAAGAATGATACTTTTTACTTTGACTTTATAAAATTATATGTTTGGAAAATAAAAATTTGTTTTACACATCCATTCATTTTATTTTAACCATTCATTTAGATGCCATAAGAATATTACACTGCGAAGATCGAGACGAGTATTTTACTATATGCATATTTTTTTACGGTTCGCCCGCCAAATAAAGAGCCACAGAATATGTTAAGGGTTTATATACTAGATGGACGATGCTAAGAATTGCTAGTTGTGTGTCTTTCTGCGTGCTTAAATGTATGATGTCTCTGATTACGTGAAAGTGGTTTTGTATGTTTCTACCTGGTATGCTATACGGCTGATCGAGGGTGTATTAATTTAGGTATGAAAGGTTCGATTTTCTTAACTAAAGTTTTTTGTAAATATTTTATAATTACTGTTGTGTAAAGATATAAGTCTGTAATTTTTAGTTTTTTGTCCTGTCCATATCATTTTTAGGAATGAGTGTTATATATGCCTGTTAAAATATATAGCACAATCCTCTTTTTCATGTATGTCTTAAAATGTAGTGTGTAAAAGGAATAATAAGTCATTTTTGAAAGTATTATAAAATTATTTGATCCTGGCGCTTTATTTGGTTTTAGTCCTTCTATCGTCTTAGATATTTCCTCTTATGTAAGTTAAGCGTTGATTTTGGTACAGTCATCGTTGTCTAGCTTTGTTGTGTAATTAAGATAATGTTCTTGTATTTCATAGACTGTATATTCCTTGATGAAGGGGTTTTGATAGGATAAAGTAAAATTGACGGTTTTTACTTTCCAGGTAATTTGATATAGTCCCGTTGTCTTCTGTTATGCTACATATATATTTACTGTTGCAGTGTATTTTTCAAAAAATGTGTTGTAATGTGAGGGCTCTTCGTTGCCTATCAAGTCACAGAAAGCTTTCGATATAGTAGATCATACATGGTTGATAAAAACAATAGATGCTCACAACCTAGGACACTATTCTAAAACATGGATAAAAATAATATACAACAATGCACATAGTCATGCAGAATATTTTTTTTTCCTTTTAGTTTAAATAATAGAAAACAAGAAATATTTTTTTAAAAACTTGAAACTTAAAGATTACAACGCTATTAAAAGTTTACATAATAGATTGAAATTCAAAATTTAAATTCATAATGATGTTAAACTGCTCTGAATTTCATTTCACTGAATGTTGCATTTTGCTGGGGACTCCAGTATACATTGAGTGTACCCCAAACAGCGTTAAGATAAGCGTACACGCAATTGTTAAACCACCAACCTCCGCGATAGGAAACTGCACAGTTAACCCCATTCATTGCGTCATTATCGCGGTCAAATGTTGAGAACATCATACCATTATGTGCAGCTAGCCTGTCCACGGTATTTCCAGTGCAGCCATTGACATGTAACCTATAGCCGTCTGCCTCGCTGGAAATGTTAAAGCTGGAATACTTTGCAAAATAATTTGTTCCTCTGAAGATCATATCAACTCTCAGTTCTGTTTTGTTTTTGGACGTTAAGAGATAGATGTTCTCATTGCCCAGGTAAAAATTACCTGAACTAAAATCACCAAATCCATTTTTGTATTCGGTCCAGTTCCTGTAAAAATCTACTGTCCCAGAAACACGTCTTTGGAAAATGGTCCATCCTCCACCGTCTGTCACTGTGTCACACATGACCTGAAATCCAGAGCTAAGAGTCACGACAGGACGAGAGTCACTGTTGTCTACGCCTGTGCATGATTCAACCGTACCTGTTAAATATGTAAATAATTTATGGTGAATTTTATTTAGTTCGTCACATATAACCAGTAGTCAAGAGCTAAGAGTCAACAATGACTTGATTTTGAGGCGACCTAAGAAATAAAATGGTGCTATTATTTGATACATTTTAAACGGCCGATTCAGAATAAATAGAAGGTTTGATAAGTTTGTTCATCATTCGATATGAAATTAAACCCTAAAAATTGCGCAAGTTTAGGGGGTATGTACAGTAAATTTGTTAATCTATATACTACTAAAACTCAACTTTGTTTACATGTTTGTATTTTAAAAAAAAAATTAATTTGTTTGCCTGTTTGGTTACAGGAGAGAATCTGCACTGTGTGTAGAGCTGTAAAATACGTAATTAGGTAAAAAAAAAACATCGTTCTTTTTGACCAAACTGTTAATCACAAATTAATGTAAAGTCATATTATTCATTTACTTTTTATAACAATAATGGCGGCTTCCATCGAAGATTTTGGTGCCCATTTTAAAGTTTAACTCATTATAAAGCTAATTTTCTGTCGGCTATAGCTTTAACGATAATATTTTTATTAGGTTAAAACACTATAATGAATTTTCAACAGTTCTAATTTGAGGATACATTACATTTTTCTACATCAACAGATCAGCTGTCATAGAAATAGAAAGTTAATCCTAGATAAAAAATCTAAAATCTAAGTCAAACCAAAATTAATTACTTAAAAATAGAAACGATTTGAAAAACTGAATACATTTTTGATTTTCTTTATTAAACTATTTTAGTCCTTAAATATTTCATATAACTCTTTGCTTCATAGCTTCACGGGCATTCTAATTCAAGAATACAAGGGATTTATCCATCAATTTCCTAGTTTCTAGATCTAGAACTGCTGAAAAAGTTAGACTTGAGCCAAGGAAGTCGTAGTATGTAGATCTAGAAAACTCTATCTAGATCTAGATAATAATGAGTTTCTATACTAAACTATTTCGGATCTTCATTATTTTATATAAATCTTTGTTTCACAGGCTCCTCTCTACCATATATATTAACTCGCTGTTATGTATTATTACTTAACTACTTTACATTGTTACCCTGTGTATGGCTTAGTCCATGTGACAGTCGATAACTTACTTTATTTACCTAACTAAACTTTACAATGCCCGTGCCTTAGCCCACGGGGCATTTAAATAATTTTTTGACTTAAACTGTTCCTGCCCGTGACGTAATTCAACGTGGCAGTTGAGTAGACATTTCAGTTACCTACTGTACTACTTTTATCCTGCCACGGAGCAGTAGATAATAATATTATATTATACCCAGCATCATTTTATTTTACTACAGGCCGTAGAACTACGGGCATTGAGTTGACCCGTAGTCATCGTATCTGATATTTCATTTTATTCACCGGCCGTAAACCCTTGCCAGAGACAAGAGGTCATCGGACCTGGTAAGAAATTATTATTCTACTATTGACACTTAGCCATCAGACCTTAATGAAAGTAAGTCTAGTTATACTATACTAGAGTCAATATTCCCGGTAGAGAAGTGGCACAGAACCTCATACCGGTTGAATGTACTCATTTTACAGATTATCAATATTATTACGGTTCAATAATAATCGCGTAAATCAAGTTTCCTAAGCAGACTAAGAGTATAAATATAGCAGTAATTATGTAACCCATCCAACGAGCCTAGATAGATAAGATGTTAGTGTCATAGGTTACCAAGCGGGTGGCACGGGTTCGAGACACATCGAATCCGTGTTAATTGTTTTTATTATTTGTTTTAGATATGAATGATTAAGTTGCCTATCGGGACTTGGCGGGATACAGGGCAGGTGAAGTAGAGTTCACCTGTTTCTGTGTCCTCAGGAACTGAAAGAATAGTCTGGTCAGAGCCCGGAATATTTTTTTTAAACGATAAAAACATGTTGTCTGAGAGTTGGCGGGACACTGGGCAGGTGAAGTAGAGTTGAGTAGGTCACCTGTTACGTCAGTATATGAAGGGATATTGTGGTCAGGCCCATGCACAGCCTAAATCGATGTTTTTAAAAGACAAAAACATCTGAGGTTTGACTTATTTTTTAATGTGGGGTCTAGTTCTTTTTATGACGATAAGTTACAGACGTGATGTCATTTTTTGACGACCCCAGAAACCCACAGTTATCTAGAAGATAACGGGTGGTATAGTCTTAGTTAAAACTTAAGTTTTGTAAAATGATCTTTTTGCCAATAAAAAAAAAGTGGCTCATCAAATGCAAAGCAAATATAATACATCATGTACACATTATTGACATTTATCAGCAAAAGTAGAAACTATATTTTTACTTCACCTGTACAAAACAGCAAGTCTCTATCTGAAATGGAACCATCAGACAGCACCGTGATGTTTCTGGTTGTGTTACAGAATTTCCCACTAGAGAAAATTTTTCCCTGAACTTTTTGCTGTGAAGCTTTCAGTGGGGCTAGCCAGGAACCTGTTACATTTATCACAGTTTATTCAGCAGATAGTAGGATTATTTATTCTATATCAAATAATGGTAAGTTATATTTACTAAAATATATTTTCTCAAAGCAGTTTCGTGGGCTCTTGTCTTTTTAGTGTGGTTACGTATTACGGATTTGTCAATTTACAAAGCATTTATTGTGACGAAAAGCAAAATAGAGAAGACGTAAAGAGACAATTCCCATAACAAAACGTAAAGTTGCATCTTCCAAATGAGATGTAAATTTACTTCTCCCTAAAATTATACCCAATCTTACCCAGTCACATAGTGCGCACAGGTGTAAATACATTTATAAAGTACTAATAATATTTCGCACTATTATGCACATTTTGTTTTTGTCGTTTGCTTGGTGCGCAATTTCCTTTTCTACTAGATTTTATTCTTTTTTTTTAAAGTTTAAGTAAACAAAAATCATTTCTATATTCCGAGTTGCTATCCCACGTAATGTTATATTAGAATATTCGAGAAAGGGAAGATCGTTCCTGGTTTATTGTTAGCTAAAACTGGTAACCACCAATAAACGTATAATGTTCATTACTTTCTCGTATATACGGAGTATAGAGAAAGTCTTGTAATCGTGCAAAAAAAAAAATCAAATTTTTTACAAATCTCGACGTTTTACACCTCACTGATACGGAAAAACATAATTTTGCAATCTTGTCCGTATGTCTGTGTGTCTGTGTGTCTGTGTGTGTGTGTGTGTCTGTGTGTAAACACGATTACTTGAGTACCGCTACAGCTAGGTTGATGAAATTTCATATATAAGTATTATATCAAAATCGTAGATCCGTATTAACTTTTGAGCGATTTCCGATAAACGGAAGTGGTACTTTTCCTACTTTGAATTTTTCAAAAGCCTATAACTTGAGTACTATTTTAGATAGATAAATGAAATTTCACATATAAGTAAAAGATCTAATTCTCTACCTTCTGTTAAATTTTGAGTAATTTCCGTTGACTGGAAATAGTAATTTACGCTACTTACGATTTCTCAAAAAACTAATGTAAATTTTTAAAGTACTAATAATATTGCGCACTATTATGCACGTTTTTATTTGGCGTTCACTTGGTGTGCACTTCTTTTGTCTACGAGAATTTATTCTATTTTTAAAACTTTAAGTATTTAAAATTGATTAAAAATCATGTCTATAGCCCGAGTTCCCATCCCCTGTTGTTTTATATAAGAACGAGCCGACCCGCTGCGTATCATACGCCGCTATTTAGTTTTTTTTTTCTACTTTTCAGTAATTTATAATTTGTGAATTTGACAGTACCAATACTGCCACTGAAAAAATTTGCTTAAAAACACTAAACCCCCCTCCCCCCCCCCCCCCCCCACGTGAAAGCAGCCTTCTCTTAGTTACCTCCTCTAAGTTTAAAATCGTTTCAAACTAAATTATCTGCCCCTAATAGCCGTCACCAAACCCGTCTCTATGATTGTAAAATGTAAACAGCGTGACCACAGCTCACCAGACCATGTGAGGGGGTGGGGGTGGGGGGTGGTAGCAATAGAGAGGAAGAGAGGGGACTGTAAGGCGCGCTTGCAGCTTGTTTTCTAAAGACTCCCAGAGGAGAATTATATAGATAGATAGATAGATATTCGAGAAAGTTTAGGGGAGATCACTCCCGGTTTATTTTTAATGTACTCAGTACGTCTGTTAGATGTGCCAGGTGAAGGTTGACCATAATTTCTCTTTGTCATCTCAAGACTTTTGTGATGGATCTTTTTTCTTAATCAAAACATGTAAAACATATCAACTTACCCAAGCTACAATGTTGTGTGGCTTCGTTGTAGATGTAGCTGTAGCACGTTTTGTTGGAACTTGAACAAAGATGGGCGCAAGACAAGAGGCTGACTTGGTCAAACTCTACATCGATGGGCAGTGTGGTCACGTTTGTGTCATCAACAGCTTTATACTGGGTGAGTTGTGCTGGGTCCATTGAATAGGCTTTAGGTGAAGATAAAGTAAATTGATTGAGATTGTATGGTTGGAACGTAATGCAAAAACTTGCTTATCTTAACATCGAAACTTTGTTTTATTGATTGGATTCGTTGGACGATCGTTAATTTACCATGCTACAGTTCACCATGCATTAAAATACTTTAAACGTTTAGATAGAGCAAGTAAAGTCAGTTTAGTATGAAAAGACTACATTATATTTTTAAGTTCTACGAATAATTCCCGAAAGACTATTGCCCAAATACCGTTAGAGCGAAGGACGATTTCCCGAATGGACACTTGCCCTGTTGCGACAAATTCCCGAAAGCCACATGCCCGAAGGCCGATTGACTAAAAACAGCTTTTAACAATAAATCCTATTACCAAATAGACATTCTTAATCTATTGAAGTTTGACATTTTGATAGTCAACACAATTTTAAGCATAAAACAAACTTGATAATATATTTAAAATGCAGTTTTTTTAATTTTTTGAACATTCAAAAATTGCTAAAAAAAATCTTTATTTTTATATAAATGTAACGTAATTTTGGAGGCGGTGTCTTTAAATTCGTTTGATGAATGTTTAGAACAACTTTTTTTAGCCAACGTGTGGCGGTGGTTAAACAGCGTTTATGACACGTCGTAGGCAGAGTCGCGTTTCTTTGATTGATCTCTCTACACAAAAACTTTACTTTTATTAACTAAGTTCGTGTATGGGACCGCGTAAATTATAACATTTAAAACAAACACAACTAACCTCGTGCGATGATACAATAGACTACTACAACAATCACGGCCCACATGGTGCAGCTGGTCTACAATCCTTACAAAACGTACTGAGTCGTCGAACTTTTTCCTGTATAAAAATTAGTTTTAGATTTATACATGAATTATCGGTCCCTACATATATACGGCTGGTGCATTCATTAAAATAACATATAGTGCAGTTGGTCTACTCAATACAGTCATGCTGATGCACGCAATAAATTAACGTAACATACAGCAGATGCACTCGATTAATTAACGTAACATACGTCGTGTGCATTTAATAAAGTGACGTTAATATCGGTTGGTGCATTCAATACTTGATCATCTAAATAACAACTAAAACATTACATGAATTGTCTGAACTTGTTAACAGTCTATGGAGTTTAGATGTCAAAATTTAAAACTTTTTGATTAGCTTTCTCCTTTTAAGAAACGACAGTTAGGCAATCAATTATTATAATAATGATTTCTCTTTTTAGATTGTTGAATGCTAGTTGTGAGTTGCAAATATAAATGGACTTATCTGGTTACAATAAATATACTTTTGTCTTTATTTACTCGTAAAAATTGGCAAATGAAATTGAATATTGACAGAGTTGCCTAGCGACCCAATAATATTTAGATAACGTTCAAGTGAGGTTTCATGCTGAATGTATTTATCGTTTAAGGAGTGTACTTTATTGATTACTTGGTATGCGATGATTCATGCTGCTTGATACCAGAAATCATTTAATTGAAAATCAGAGGAGCCGTGTGTTATAAATAGAGCCACGTGATGGAGTAGAGCCACGGGACAGAGTAGAGCCACGGGACAGAGTAAAGCCAAGGGACAGAGTAAAGCCACGGGACAGAGTAGAGCCACGGGACAGAGTAGAGCCACGGGACAGAGTCACGGGACAGAGTAGAGCCACGGGACAGAGTAGAGCCACGGGACAGAGTAGAGCCACATGGCACGGTAGAGACTTAGGACAGAGTAGAGCCACAGGACAGAGTAGAGCCACGGGACAGAGTAGAGCCACGGGACAGAGTAAAACCAAGGGACAGAGTAGAGCCACGGGGCAGAGTAGAGCCACGGGACAGAGTAGAGCCACAGGACAGAGTAGAGCCACGGGACAGAGTAGAGCCACGGGACAGAGTAAAACCAAGGGACAGAGTAAAGCCACGGGGCAGAGTAGAGCCACATGGCATAGTAGAGCCACAGGACAGAGTAGAGCCACGGGTCAGAGTAGAGCCACGGGTCAGAGTAGAGCCACGGGACAGAGTAGAGCCATGGGACAGAGTAGAGCCACGGGACAGAGTAGAGCCACGGGACAGAGTAAAACCAAGGGACAGAGTAAAGCCAAGGGACAGAGTAGAGCCACATGGCATAGTAGAGCCACAGGACAGAGTAGAGCCACGGGTCAGAGTAGAGCCACGGGACAGAGTAGAGCCATGGGACAGAGTAGAGCCACGGGACAGAGTAGAGCCACGGGACAGAGTAGAGCCACGCGACAGAGTAGAGCCATGGGACAGAGTAGAGCCACGCGACAGAGTAGAGCCACGGGACAGAGTAGAGCCACGGGACAGAGTAGAGTCACGAGACAGAGTAGAGCCACGGGACAGAGTAGAGCCACGGGACAGAGTAGAGCCATGGCACAGAGCCACGGGAGAGAGCCACGGGACAGAGCCGCTAGATAGAATAAGGCCACGGAATACAGAAATGATCCAGACTGTCAATAAATTATAACCTGATCACGTGTGTCCCCAAGAATGACATAGCAAAAAAACTACCTAAATATTGACTACGTAAACAGCATTGAGTCAATAGATTCGATCACACTTACTGCTTGTCTCAATTGTTATTGATGTATGATTAATTTTCGATGCCAAATAAAGGACATCTCACGTGACAAGGTCATGAAAAAGTGGTATCATTGTTCACGTCACTTAATAATGTTGAATTGTCATTCGCGTTTTTATAAAACGTGTTTTGTGTAATGGACTAGTTGCAAAGCTTGTAGTAAATATAACGTGATACACTGTTTCACTTGTTATATGCCGCCTAAATTATGATGGGAGGTAACAGAAAAATAATTAGTCCATACAGAACTAGTTCCGAATGTATGGGTCGCTACTCAGTAGGTAGTGGTGAAGGGTTTTTCTATGGTCGCGATGATACGACTTTAGCTTTAACAAACACTCGACCGCCAAATTTCTCCATCACATTAATAAATTATACATAATATACATGGACTATAAAATCTAATTATATTTGTGTGTTTTAACTAACTTTTTTTCCGTTTTTGGGGTCGCGGGTCACATGGTTTCCATCAAAAGCGTTCGTAGCATGAAAATGTTTGGGAACATATGCAATGGAGATTTGACCCGTTTAAAAAATAAATGTTTATAGATGCAACACACTTGTGAGTGCCAATCATTTTTTTAAAAAATGGGCTTATCAGTGTAATAAAAAAAAACCGTAGAAAGATATCAGATTTGTTTATACTTTATACCAATCACACAGCTAAATATATGCTTTTGTTGTTTTCACTTTGATCACATCGCATTATTTAATGCTGAAATTAAAGGTAAAATACCAGCTTTAACCATCAATTTATATTTATCCCAAAGGGGCATTTTAATCGATAGCAAAAGTAAATAGCAGCATGTGAAAACAGACCAGTTTTTACAGTCATCGACATTTATATGAAACTAGCGTACCCGTCCCCCGCGCGTTGCCGCGGGGATAGAAGTAAGTTTGACGAAATGTATTAGAATGATTTCAGCAAGACGTTACAAATCATATGTTCTAAGACGCGTGACCATATTTTCTAAAAGCGAGTTATTTAAATGTAAACAATGCCTGCGCTTAAATCATAAATATCGGGACACAGGTTTACCTACACTACCGCATGTAAACATTGAGTGTACATTAATCACTCACCGAAATAATGTTAGAACACACTTCGGTGACCGCCCATGTGTCAGAGACGCACAGGGGCGCTCTCAGGGCCCCCACCCCCCCCCCCCCCCCGATTAGACTACCGCATAGGCGCGGCGTACGACCCCTGGCTCCTTAAACTAACAGGCGCCATCGGCCAAATAGCATCCTATTAATAATGATGCAGATTTCGTCATTCGCTAAAGTGACACAAATGAACAGGAATTTTTTCTTTAACACGTAAAAGTATTTAACGTGTTTTAAACATCAGTGTGACTGATGCAATATGCTAGCGTTACTAATGGTCTATTATTAGATGCTCGATCTCAATTTCTGACTGGCTTGTCTAATAGTAGATGCTTATTGCATCATTCGCAAAGTGACGAAACTCTACAGTAGGCTCCTCATATTCAAAAAGTTATTTTTTTCATCTTTGGCAAGGTGACGAAACTGTACTGAAGGATTTCCTCGCGTTACAAAGTTATTTTTAGAAGCCTGTTTTAGTTTTACCGCTGAATATAGTAGTACCCCTTTCTCGCAATGCGGGACGCTCGATTAACGGATGCTAAGTGCCAACATAGTCGCTCTAAAACTCTGGGCGCCAAATTGTGTATTGACGAAAGTTGTACCCTATATGGCGCCGCCCAGAAGAAACGTTAGTTTTCTTTTTCGCAGAAATATTCTCGGGAGTATTCTCATCTACTCCCTAAAGTTTCATGGCACTCGGATGAACCGCATCCGAGTTTTATTTTTTATATACCGTGTATAGAGAAAAAAAATCGCTCCCCCCCCGGAGGGCGCCGCCCTTGCAATATTAAACAATATTTTTTTGCAGAACCCTACTATTGAGTGATCTAATCATCTCCCCAAAGTTTCATGGTACACGGATGAACGGTGTGAAACTGAAATATACTTTTATTTTTATAAACCGTATATAGAGAAAAAATCGCAGCCTCCCGTGGCGCCGCCCTTGCGAAATTTAAAAAGGATTTTTTTTTCCGAACCCATCTTTGAATTGTTCTAATCAACTCCCCCAAAGTCTCATGGCTATCGGATAACGGTGTCACACTAAAATCGACTTTTATTTTTATATACCGTAGATAGAGAAAAATCGCACCCTCCCGTGGCGCCGCCCTTGCGAAATTAAAGATGATTTTTTAACAGAAACCTTTCCTAGAGTTTTATAATGAACTCCCCAAAGTTTCATGTCTATCGGATGAACGGTGTCACTGCAATTCACTTTTATTATTTTTATATACCGTATATAAAGGAAAATCGCACCCTCCCGTGGCGGCGCCCTTGCGAAATTAA